GGCGTTCGGAGAGAAGAAGAGCAGTACAAGGCACGTGGCCTAATTTCCTGATACTTTGAAACTCTCCGTGATGTCCAAAATTTTGAAATTGCAGCTCAATCTGATCAGGGTTTTTTTTTTAATTCTTCACTCTTTCCATTATTGTGTCCTTTTTTCTGCACAGCTAAACAAGTCCGGTCAGCGTTCCCCACATCCCAGCGACTAATTTCGCGTGATGCCAGTAGTACGATACTGTGCATGTCGAGTGGTAGTTCAAATCTGAACGCTTCCTGGACATCAGTACCAGCTTTAGACATGCCATTTATCTGGACGACCAACGCTCCAAAGATGGTGCGTTCAGTTTTCACTTTCAAGCTGAACGATAAAACGATGGTGAACCACCTAAAAGATCTTGATACGTCACGTGTTACATTCAATTTAAAGTGTACAACGTGGTACAGAGAAGATTTGGACTGTAGAGCAGCAGAGTCAACTCCTCCACGCCCACAGCGTGTGGAAGAAAGATGTCGTCAAGCTTCTCGGCCAGTCTCCAGAACTGTCTCGGTCACGGTTGCAGAAGGTTTGTTTTTTACATGTATTTAGAGTCACTTTGCGTATGTTTAAAATAATCTTGAATGGCACAGATCAACAAGTCAGGTCAGCGATCCCCACATCCCAGCGACTAATTTCGCGTGATGCCAGTAGTACGATACCGCGCATGTCGAGTGGTAGTTCAAATCTGAACGCTTCCTGGACATCAACACCAGCACTTGACATGAAGCAGGATCAACCCCTCCGCGTCCACAGCGTGTGGCCGAAAGATGTGGTCAGGCTTCTGGGCCACTATCCAGAACTGTCTTTTGTTCTGGGCATGGAAATTCTGTCGTTGTTCACGAAGTTAAATCCGCAGTCGTTATTAGCCAAGTTGACTGTAACTTGATGCTCGACCGCTGCTACTGAATTCCTCTTTTTTGTTTGCCATTTTGTTGCTCTAAAAACATGCGGTTCCTACACAACTACATCAACAGTCACCACAACGCCTAAATCAGCAACATCAGCGATGTAGACTGCAGACTTGACAGCGATGTCAAGCGTGACGGTGAGCTCTGCCTCACCCGCATATTCTTCAACGACTGATGATTCTGCAGAGGAAGGCTTGCAGCTTGGAACAGCTATTGGAATTGGAAGTGTATGTAGTGTCGTCGTATTTGCCCTGTCAATCATCTTCATCATCAGACTGCAGACTTGACAGCGATGTCAAGGGTGACGGTGCGCTCTGTATTACCTGCATCAAAGTATTCTTCAACTAAAAAAAAGGTTTGGACGACGAACGCTCCGAAGATAGTGCATTCCACTTTCACCTTCCAGTTGAATGATCAAACGATTGTGAACGACCTAAGTGATCTTGATACATCACGTGTTAACGTCAATGTGACGTGTACAACGTGGTACACGGAAGGCTTCGAATGCATTTCAACAGGATGTTACCCGCAGCACAGTCAGCTGGTCGCGAGTATCAAGCAGCACGAAGACCAGGATTGCGCTTTGCCTAGTGAGCACGACGTAGTACACGATTCTGTACTATCTCCTGTTTGCAAGGAACAAGGAGAACAGGCGGCGGCTTGGATTTACTTCGGAAGTACGACTCGTGCGCTGGCGGAGAACAGTGAGCTGCCGTCATTACCGATCGAACTGGTTGGTGTCGGAGATCTCTCATCATGATCAGCCTGATCCCAGCTCCCATCGACAGCGTCTTCTGGATTTGGTTCGCAACTTGCCAGGTCTGCAGAAGACGGCATCGGCAACATCAACATTGGCGTGTTTGTGACTTGCCCTCCGTGTCGGCAATGGCCAAAGCCGTGCTGGTGACTTGACGTCCTTGTCGGCCAAAGCCGTGCTGGTGACTTGACGTCCTTCTCGGCCAAAGCCGTGTGAAGAAGAGGGGTAGGTTTGCCAAATCGAAGTGTGCATATGCCATCCGCTCAAGGCAAGGATAAGAGGCTGACTGTAAACCAAATTTCATCTAATTCGTGTGAAAATGTATGTTGCTACTGTCGCGGACATGGAAATCCAGTCGATTGACCCGGGCCGGCGCCCTCAGCGCGTACAGAACGTAGCATGCAGTGCACATGTTGATCCGATGCGACCAGCAGCATGCAGTGCATGATAAAACGTGCTACGGCTGCATGGCCAGCGCCCTGGGGCCGCTAGACGTGCGACCGGATTTCCATGTCCACGACAGTAGGTGGCGGCTATGCAGTAGTTTGATCATGTTTTGAGCCGATTTCACATTTGATCGCCAGAGAAAAATGGCTATAACTTTCGAATGCCTGGACCAATTTTGATAAAAAGAAATTGGTACCATTGGATTTCTTATTACCTGGGTGACATTGTCCAAGAACAAGCTAGCTTGAATTATGAATTTGAATTATATCTTGGAATCCCTACTGGTGTTTAGAAGTTTTTTCCGCGTCATTTTGGCGGTCAAATTTTCAGGATTCCACGTGTTCATTCTACACTCAATAACTAAATTACCTCGCGCAAACATGAACGACCGTACTCACGGGTAAACAAAACCAAAACAATCACTGATTCAGTCCAACATAGGTTCGTGCTAACGCCACGCTAACTGAAATCTCAACTGAACTAACCTATATCGCTCTCGCTTACCCTGACTCGAGGTGTGCTTCGCAAATCTGGGAAGATAGGAAATCTCTTTCACGTCGTCCTGAACTTGCTCAAGCTGAAGGGACAATGAGCGTACCCCAGGAAGAAGTACGGCCAGGAATCAACTGCAGGAGAACTATCTTCGAAAGCGAGACAAATGTCTTCTCGCCAGAATACACTGAGCCAACGCCGGCAACTGAGTTCATGAAGCAAAAAAATTAATAGTGTTCTGTGTTTCTTGAGACGCAAACAGCACACAAACGCTGCCTATGCCATGGCATACTTGCACTGTTTTCTTTTGTGGTCGCAGTCATGGAGCGGTCCGTCTAGGCGATGCATGCAGCAGCATGCAAGTGCAGGAAAGCATTCGCCCAAACAGTATTTGGCAGTAACTCTCTGAGTATGACAGCCACAGAACTCGTCAGCATGAGACGCCCGGGGAGTCGTATAAAGTCGACTCCCTGGAGACTACTAACTACTGCACTGCAGTACTGTAGCGGACATGGAAATCCAGTTGATTGACCCGGGCCGGCGCACTCAGCGCGTCTACGGAAAGCTGCGCGCAGTTCACAGTAAGACTGTAAGACTAAGTGTAGTCGAGTCATGTTGATCCGATGCGACCAGCGTGCTTCAGCGCACAATGCATGTGTTTACCGCTTATCCGCGACTGCATGGCCAGCGCCCTGGCCTGGGGCCGCTAGACGTGCGACCGGATTTCCATGTCCACGACAGTAGTACAACTACGCACGGTAACTAACTACAGTGCTGGCAACTGAAATCCGACCCCCTTGGATTTCAGTTGCCAGCACTGTACTTTTGAGTTTTGTCGCACGCGACTAGCCTGTCAACATCTCGCGAGACTCCTCAATCCTCATGTCATGATCGTTCGAGCTGCAGCAAAATTAATACGGAGCACGACTGGACAAGCGCGAACTAAATTATTGTGTTTTCAATTACATGTATATAGGCTATTCAGACTACGGCCAAATGTGACCACGTTTCTACGATAGGGATTAGGGAGGGCCCCAATATGCTCCAAAATTTCGCATATTATGCTTTTCGCATATTGGCCATTTGCTTCAAAATATGCTTCGAAATCACACAAAAGTAGAATAATATTGCTCGAAAATTCTTCTCAATCTCTAAAAAGGAGTTTGGATGGTGGTGGTCTATATGGGGTTTGTATGAGGTTGATATGCCCAGTATAAACCGCCGGCATGATGGGCAAGTTGGCTGGAAGTTTGTATGAAAGGTCAGCATAAGCTTGATTACCAGAACTGATATCAGTGTAATTATGCGAATTCTTTGCTCCTTGTAGCAAAATATGCTACATTTGGTACGATACGCTACATTTGCTACTTTATGCGACCTTGGGACTTGAGTCGCGGACACTCTCTTCCCGGGTAGGCTCCGGCGGATTATGCTCGCGAAATCATGGAATTATGCTTTCATGGATTCTCGGATTATGCTCGCAAAATCCTCTTAGCCCCATCCCTCACACAAACAAGTCAATAGCGAGGCATCTTTGGATTGAGGAGTGCTGGTTTCGAAACAACTGGTTTGAAGCTCAAAGTAGAGCTGGTGTTAGCTCAGAGCAGAGCTGGTGTTAGCTCAAAGTAGAGCTGCTGTTAGCTCAAAGTAGAGCTGCGGTTAGCTCAAAGTAGAGCTGCGGTTAGCTCAAAGTAGAGCTGCTGTTAGCTCAAAGTAGAGCTGCGATTAGCTCAAAGTAGAGCTGCCGTTAGCTCAAAGTAGAGCTGCTGTTAGCTCAAAGTAGAGCTGCTGTTAGCTCAAGGTAGAGCTGCTGTTAGCTCAAAGTAGAGCTGCTGTTAGCTCAAAGTAGAGCTGCGGTTAGCTCAAAGTAGAGCTGCTGTTAGCTCAAAGTAGAGCTGCTGTTAGCTCAAAGTAGAGCTGCGGTTAGCTCAAAGTAGAGCTGCTGTTAGCTCAAAGTAGAGCTGCTGTTAGCTCAAAGTAGAGCTGCTGTTAGCTCAAAGTAGAGCTGCTGTTAGCTCAACGTAGAGCTGCAATGCTAAATGGATGTAATATAGCGCAAGGCAGAGCCGCAGCAAATAGCTAGATAACACCAGTTGTGAGAGTGGACCCGGTTAGTGGGTACGATAATATTATGATGGTGTGAATAAGTTGGATAGGGAGGGATGGTGGGAAAAGAAACACTGCTGAAGCACGATCCGTTGTCTGGAAGAGCACAACAGGGCAAGCAAGGTTTGTTTTTCTTTTCCGCAAAAATGGGCTGGTGCCATTTGTGATTACGCAGCAAAACAAAGCGCATGACGTCAGTCTTGAATGCAGTACAAAGCAATGCAGTGCAGTGTGTGCGCTAGTTCGGATTGTTGCTAACAAGTACTAGCACAGCTAGTACACCATTAGCCCCATCCCTCACACAAACAAGTCAATAGCGAGGCATCTTTGGATTGAGGAGTGCTGGTTTCGAAACAACTGGTTTGAAGCTCAAAGTAGAGCTGGTGTTAGCTCAGAGCAGAGCTGGTGTTAGCTCAAAGTAGAGCTGCTGTTAGCTCAAAGTAGAGCTGCGGTTAGCTCAAAGTAGAGCTGCGGTTAGCTCAAAGTAGAGCTGCTGTTAGCTCAAAGTAGAGCTGCGATTAGCTCAAAGTAGAGCTGCTGTTAGCTCAAAGTAGAGCTGCTGTTAGCTCAAAGTAGAGCTGCTGTTAGCTCAAGGTAGAGCTGCTGTTAGCTCAAAGTAGAGCTGCTGTTAGCTCAAAGTAGAGCTGCGGTTAGCTCAAAGTAGAGCTGCTGTTAGCTCAAAGTAGAGCTGCTGTTAGCTCAAAGTAGAGCTGCTGTTAGCTCAAAGTAGAGCTGCTGTTAGCTCAAAGTAGAGCTGCTGTTAGCTCAAAGTAGAGCTGCTGTTAGCTCAAAGTAGAGCTGCTGTTAGCTCAACGTAGAGCTGCAATGCTAAATGGATGTAATATAGCGCAAGGCAGAGCCGCAGCAAATAGCTAGATAACACCAGTTGTGAGAGTGGACCCATGAAACCAGCACTCCGTTAGCTAAGCACTATTGACGCACAGCAAGGGTCAATTAATGTCAGCACCGGCAAGCATTGCGCAGCTAGAGTTCAGTAGCTCATTACTCACCCGAGTTGGGGATCATGGCATCCATGGCACGGCAGCAAGCCGGGATGATAGCTGGCGCTATGCGCTTGTTGTAGTCTGGATGTAGCGTAGACACGCATCGCTCTTTCCACTGACCTGCCACTCGGAAGAAGGAGTCGGGGGCACTAGCCATAGCAGCAGTGGTGGCTGCACCAATGTGGACCGAATGCCCGGAGTAGTTCGACTGGGATGGTACACCGGCCGCAGAGACAAGAGACCATACTGTTACTGTGAATGACTGCCTGGTCAGCCGCTGTCTGTTCGAGAGTACGAACAAGAGTTGCTCCGGTCCCTCGCGACGAGTGACAGATGGGTAGCTAACAATGGCACGGACCGGGCAGTACGGCGGTACAGACGGGCCAATGTCACTAGTAACGCCTTTACCGAATGGGTCCGTCTTGGATGAAAGCAGGAAGAGTTGCAGGCGTCCGTCACCAGGGGAGCTAGTGCAGCCCCGTGTGATGCCATTAGTGAATTCAGCGCACCGAAGAAATACAAAGAAGCAGCATGGCGGCTTGGCAGAACAGCTTGTCATGGCCATTCAGGATACTACTTTTCCAGCGTGCATCCGTCAGGTGTCGTAGGATTGGCATAGTTATAGGAAGACGAGGGGTGAGTGCAGCCGTACCATGGCATCGCTGGATGCCCTTCAACACCCTCTTTAGAAGCCACGCATCTACTAAGGGGCCAGCAAACCCATTCTCAAGGTGGGCTTTATGCACCGCACTCGCATACACAGATACAGTTCAGGGCACGCTGATCATAGTTCACGCATGAATGTGTGTCCAGGAACGATGACTCGGGCAGCAAAAGTGAGCTTCCCCAGGAGGGACTCGAGTTGACGCTGGCCGATGCTGCGCTCGCTGATAGTAGCCATGAGTGGCGCACGGATCTCGGACAGCTTGTCCTCTGGTAGCCGAGCTTCGTGGCGCTCGCAGTCTAGGACAATACCAAGGAAGGTCAATGATGGTGATGGCCCTTCGAGCTGGGATGGAGCAAAGAGGAGTGCCGAGATATGTGAACGCCCGGAGGGGGATGGTGAGTTGCTGGTTGGCTGCAGCCAAACCAGTGGAGATATCGAGCAAGTCATCGAGGTAGTGAAGCCGGTGATCTATAGCAAACTCGTGCTGCATGATCCAGTTGACTGCTGTGGCTACTGAGTCAAAGACGGCTGGGCTGGAGCGGAGGCCGGAAGGCAGAAAGCGCTCGTAGTAGTAGGAGCCTTCCCAGCGAAGTCCTGACGGCGGACTGGGATCTGCCGAAATGCACTGCGTACATCGAGCTTGGACAACTACACAGGCTGTGGGCATGACATGATGATGTTGATCGCGTTGTCAATGCTCGCGTAGTGCAGAGAGAGCGGCTCGGCAGGAATGCTGTCGTTCGCGCCGGTGCCTTCCGGACTAGACAGATGGTGGATCATTCGCGGCTTGCCGTTCTTTTTGGGGATGGCACCAATACCAGAGCGCATGAACTGAAATGGAGGTGACGGAAATGGGCCTGTGGTCTCGCTGCGGGCGCAGGAAGCAGCTAATTGCTCGGATATAAATGCCGAGTGAGTGAAAGCCAATGGTAGATTATTAGAGAAAACCGAAATGTCGTGTTGGCCGGCAGATCCGAGAGTAAAGCCACGGCGCAGGCCATGGAGAACATACGCAACACATGATTGATCTGAGTGGTTACGTAACAGGCGGGCAAAGTGGTCAGCTAGCAGTGTGGTGTTTGCAGAGTGTATAGGAAAGAAGCTACGTACCGAGTCAAGCGATTCAGTAGCCATTCTGCTAGGAGCGGCGGGGTGGCCAATTGGCTCCGCGCTGCCGCTGGTTGCACATGATGCATGGGTGGTCCTTGCCACTGGCTGCAGGTGTGGGAGAAGCGGCACGGCGACGAAGAACAGCGACCTCCATTGAAGTTGCGGCAGATTTCTTGGCCGTCGCTGGTATGGTTGCGACCACTGGAGGCAAATGCTGCTGGCTTCGGGACGAAAAGGACACAAACCGCCCCTGGATGGACCGTCTTACATTGAGCGCATTTTGGGTGTGCATGGCCTGTGACAGCTATCTGCCATAGGTTCACGTCGATGGTGTCCAACCTCTTCGTGCCTGGTTACT